CAATGGGCTCGGCTTGGCCAACAGCACCTTGTGTGAAAGTTTCGCGTCCAATGTCGCAAACAGCCCAAAAAATATTTTTTGGTCGTCGTCGTCGAAGAGGTTGACCCCGGGATCCAGTTTGGCTGGTGGCGACATTGCGAAATCTGGGATTGGCAAGCTTGATCGTGAAACTTTCACCCAAGGTGCAGTTGGCCAAGCCGAGCACATTGCTCTAATAAAAACCCCACGTTTCATTGTAAAGTTTAGAGATACAGGCACCTTTATGTTTGTAAGCGTGATGCTATATGAAGAGTGGTCTTTGTTCATTGTCAAGTAGGTGGACCCTGGCAGAGCAAAGGATGCAGAGGGCCGTGTTGTGTAACTCAGCTAAAAAGTCAGGACTTCAGGGACAATGCATGAGAGGTACGCAACCTCACTTTATGTCATGCATTGGCAGCTAATAGCCACTTTTGTGCATTCCCAACTTTTGTGCATTCTATTGTGGGTGGACAATGCTCCTGCTCCAGACATTCGTTTCCATGATTAAAGTAGGTTGATCCGAGCTGATTTGATTGAGTTACGCTCACACAAGATTACATCGGTTGAGCTACATCGAGCGTGCTTTATGTCCAGAGTGATGTAATCTCTCTTTGACCGCAGCTCAGTCAAATCAGCTCGGATCAACCTACTTTAATCATGGAAATGAATGTCTAGAGTAGGGGCATCGTTCCCATGCAGTGGATCTCGCAACAATGATGATTGGATAAAAGTGGCCGTTAGCTAGCAATACATGCCTGTTCCTAGACGATCCATAAACTATTTATACGTTGACCCTTTCATTCATGCAAAGTAGCTGTGTTACACAACACGGCCCTCTGCATCCTTTGCTCTGCCAGGGTCCACCTACTTGACAATGAACAAAGACCACTCTTCATATAGCATCACGCTTACAAACATAAAGGTGCCTGTATCTCCAAACTTTACAATCAAACGTGGGGTTTTGAATAGAGCAATGGGCTCGGCTTGGCCAACAGCACCTTGGGTGAAAGTTTCGCGTTCAATGTCGCAAACAGCCCAAAAAATATTTTTTGGTCGTCGTCGTCGAAGAGGTTGACCCCGGGATCCAGTTTGGCTGGTGGCGACATTGCGAAATCTGGGATGGCAAGCTTGATCGTGAAACTGGCACCCAAGGTGCAGTTGGCCAAGCCGAGCACATTGCTCTAATAAAAACCCCACGTTTGATTGTAAAGTTTGGAGATACAGGGGTCTTTATGTTTGTAAGCGTGATGCTATATGAGAAGTGGTCTTTGTTTAATGTAAAGTAGTATGACTATAATAGAGCAAAAGATGCAGAGGGCGTGTTTGTGTAACTTGAGTCATTCAGCACAGGCGATGCATGATTCTTGTACACTATTTAGGAATAGTTCAAAATGCCAGCTAATAACCTAGTCCTCCCACCTCTCCATTGTTGCCCAATCCAATGCATACGAACGACTGTCCTGCTCCAGCCCAGCATGCCCATCCTTCAACTTTCTTGATCCGAGAGGGTTTGACCGAGTTACGCTCAAGCACAGAAGTATCACCCAATTTCACAAAAATCATTTTGCAAAGTTATTTGTAAACTGCCACTTGATAACCCATTCCTCCCATTCACCGTTATTGCCCAAACCAATGCATGTGAACGATTGTCCTGCTCCAGCCCATCATCTCCATCCTTCAACTTTCTTGATTCGGGGGGATTTGACTGAGCAACGATCAAACAGAGGAACATCACCCAACAACAGAAACATCAAGTTAATTTCCAGGTCTTCCACTCTCAGCTCCTTCCCTCTTCTTCCTCCCATTCCCTACTGTTGCCCCATTCAAGCACAACTACCACCTGCGAACGATTGTACTGCTTCAACCCATCATGTCAATCCTACAATTGCCTTGATCCGATTGCTTTTGACTGAATGAGAAGTCCATGGCGTGTGTACCCCACTATAGCAATAACCACGCTTCTTGACACTTCACCTTCTCTTGTTACACTCCTCTACCATGACCAAGCGTAACGACATTCATTCCAGCAGTTGCGATTAGTAAAGGCTTTTCGTCATCGTCTCGAGCACCGTTCTTCACTTGCAGCGACTTGCCTTACGGCCTTTTTACGTCAATAGCAGATAGCCATTATAGAGAACCAGCTTTATTTACATGCAGCAACTTGCTTCAATACACACGATCTCTTATGGATCTGGATCTGGATCTGATATTGTTTGGGTACATGCGATGGAAGTAATGCGATGGGCGGTCTTCATTATTGACAGTGGAGCGTTGAAGATGAAGCCTGCTGAAGGTACTTGCTCCTCTATGATAAAGTTAGCACATGGATCCCTCACAAAAAGGACTATCAAACGTGATACTCAGCAATGGGTTTGGGAGTGCTAGCAATCAAAGAGTGATATGATGGAAAGAAAGAGATGTATGGGAGAAAGGTAATGGGCGACAACAACAATCATCTTGCTTATATCTGCATGGTGGGCGTGGGTACTTTAGTGATAACAAAGAGTGATAAAATGCTTGTTGGGAATGGTGAAGAGCTGATAGATTGGTAGACGCCTTTGAAAAGGAGCCATATTACTTTCATTGAATGACCATACGTAAATCAGGAACTGAGAAGCCATCATAAAACAATGACATCCATCATCTGCTATCACGAGTCACGTGCTGTGCTCAATTGGAGCGAAAGAAGACGCTGTTCAAGGATGTATGTGAGTGTTCATTTTAGAGAGAAAAGTTGCAAGTCGTTGACAAACACAATGCACACGTGTAAATGTTTCCTGCCATCATAGTATGATATAACGGCATCCACCAGCCGATAAGAAAACCTCCGTATCATGGACCTACTTTCATTTCAGCTTGTGTGTGCAACATGCCTGTTGGATCGGATGCTTGTGCCACTGCCACGAGGCGCCTGTTGCACATCTAAAGCGATGAGCCAATCTGACAACAGCTTTTGTTTGTGGAACAATGATGATGATATCATAGCATCCCTTTAGCGATAAATGGTTTCCGCGGTGATCGGATTATCACCTTGTATTGCAGTTGCTTGGTTACGTACTCAGCATCATGTCACTTTATTCTACTGGTGATAAAACGGCTGGTAATGTGACCATGCTATAGCCATGATCTGCTGCGGCGGCGTGCTCCATTTTTACCTTTTCTACATATGGAGGACAGGTACAAGCGCTCAGCCCGCTGCTGCGCTCGTGACACTAATGCAAACTATTTTACTATATATATGAAGCGCATCATCTTACTATCTTCCCCTTTTTTTATCTTTTACATCCATTTACCCAAAACAATGACCCGAACATCTCTAATGAAGCGTCTAATGACGCTCTTCAAGACAACCCATCAATCAGAACAAGGCTACCCTTATGAGCTCGAGGAAAAGTATACTGTCACCCGAAACACACTTGGTGTGGGATCTTTTGCTGTTGTCAAGGAATGCATCAGTCGTGAAGATGAAAAATCTTATGCCCTCAAGATCATTCTCAAAAAAGCCATTGCCGGTGAGTGATTCTTTGACCCGTGTATGAAACAACATGTCTTCCTAATACTTTTCATTTGTAATAGGCAAGGAACATATGTTGGATAGTGAGCTTGGTAAGGATTCAAAGGAGGGGAATGGCTGTGTATAGACGCCAAGGCTAATTTCTCGGCAATGCGTTGTCACCGATTTACCAGATATCCTAAAGCAAGTGCATCATCCACACATTGTATCAATGCACGATATATATGAAAGCAAGGATGCCGTTTACATTGTCACCGATCTATGCGAAGGTGGTGAGCTTTTCCAGCAATTGCTAGAAAGAGGTACCTACACCGAGGAAGATGCAGCTAATATTGTGCGTCAAATGCTGGAAGGACTTGCCTATTTGCATGAACATGATGTACGTATAAATCATTTATGAACAAGTTGCAGAGGCTAATACGTTGCTCTCTATGTAGATTGTTCATCGCGATATCAAACCTGAAAACGTAAGACCAAAACCTCTCGACTTGGATCCATATCACATATGCTTACCATTATGCACAGCTACTATTTGATATCAAGGATGAGGAGAATGCCAAGCTGATGATCACCGATTTCGGATTATCAAAAATACTCAAGCATCACGACGACATCCTCATGACGGCTTGTGGTACACCAGGCTATGTTGCACCTGAGGTCCTGCTACAAGTGGGTCACGGGAAACCAGTGGACATATGGAGCGTGGGCGTTGTTACGGTAAGCAAAAGTGCCAAGCGAATGATACTTGATAGGTGGTCAATAGTGTAGCAGTAAATGATAACACGTTTGTTTATAGTACACTTTGCTTAGCGGCTATACGCCATTCTGGGGTGAAGGTAAATATTGAAAAAAGGTGGGAAAGGACATCTAGCTGACATCCTATGATAGATCAAACATCCCTTTTTGAGTGTATCACATCCGGGGTATATGAATACGACGAGGAATATTGGATGGATATTTCGGATCAAGGTAAAACAACTCAAGAGGAAAGTAATTTGATGCAATACTAATCCTGTAAATAGCAAAGGATTTCATTGATAGCTTGTTGACCTATAACCCAAACGCTCGTGTTACCGCCGAAGAAGCATTACAACATCCATGGATCACCGGGGAGAAAGAACGTGAGACGAATCTGGCACCTATCATCCGTAAAGGAGCCAACAGTCATAGGTCGTTTAGATCAATTGTGACAGCCATGACATTGTTAAGCCATTGGAAACATCTCGAAAATGTACCCGAGGACGATGAAGAATCCGAATAGACTTTTATTTATGTATACCCTCAAGCATCACATCATCAAGCACATCCTCCATCCATTTCCACAACCCACCAGCCCATGCACATATAATCAACATTACTTGTAGTATTACTATTTGTAGCCCATTTGTAGTTTAGTTTTCATATCTTGCCATCGCATCGTCTAACTTCAATAACCATGCACTGTAACTACTACTTGCACCGCTCTCCTCTCTTTGTTCTGATTCTGGTCCATCGCTTTCCTTCTTGATGTCATTGATGAGACCCAAGATCACGCGGTATTCATCAAACGAGAATCGTGGTCCATTTTCACTAATGCTGCGAATTAAGCCTTCACTGCCAAGGTTGAACAGCTGGTAGTATTCTCGTGCTCGCTCCATGACCGAGTTTTGTGATGGTGGTACAAAGTTGCTTAAATTTTGCTGGAGTGCAAGCACATTGCGCATCATCTTTTGTACGCCATTGGCATTCATGCGTTTGATTTGGCTGGCTTCACTGATAAGAATGTGGACCATCAAAGCTGGTAATCCGTCAAATGCAAATCTAGATAAACGTATGAGAAAAAGGAATCGAATGAGCATCAATAGCAATCCAACTCACATTTCATCCTTGGGTGGCAGTGAAGCCGTAATACAATCATCCATTTCCATTAGGTCGGCATTGAGCGTAATCACATATGGATCAGGTTCATAGCTTTCATCCTCGAGATAATAGTTTCCCTATTATATCGCATGTTGGTACCTCGTTCCCTTTCCTCTTTTTATACGACTTACATCTTGCATTGCCATTTCCAAGTAGTAGATTGTATGACACCGGTTCTCCAAGCGCAAAGTGAACAAGCACGTCTCGGCAAGTTGTTGATAGGTTGTCAATAAGGTATCAAAGCGTCTACCCAATACGCCGTTAGTAATCCCATTTCATCCTGTAGTGGGGTCAAGTTGTACTCACTTTGCTGCTTCACCCTTCAAAGGTAGCATGATGGTACCAGTTTCCCCTTCACCCATTGAGCTGCGTCGATTGCCTTGTGACCATCTTCGGGAGCCAGAAGCCTATGTACATGAAGCTATTAGTTCACCCTATGAAGAACACTAATGAAAATCCATTCACTTACCTCGGTAGATTGCAAATCAACTTGTGAATTGTCCAAATCGCTAGTGCCCATAGGCAGCTTGGGTATCTTGATTTGTTCGTTTGGCGTACGAAGCTCCCAGATTTCTCGCACAAACCATTTCTAGATACATCGTCGTATCGTAAGTATTTGATTAATGCGTGATGCATATCCTTGCAGCTTACCAGACTATGGTAGAGGCGACCTAGTGCAATCAATCGTTTTGGTTCAAATATGAGCTCTTCAGTCTCCAGTTGTCGATCTTCTTTGAGCTTGAATTCCATTGTAATCTCAGCTTGATTCAACGCTTTCACAAATTCAAAATCGGCACGCTTTGGAAGACACATTAGTAAAACAAGCTTCTCTAAGGACGAGGGACGTTAAAGTCTCTTACCGTATCATCATTGAAATAGGGGTTTTGTGCGAGCAATCCAATCAAACTTTCGTCTTGAGCCCAATCACCACTTGTGCTAATATCCGCCTCGGCCGATCCATCTTTCTTATCCTCATATGCACCACCACGAGCAACCAGTGCTATGGATGATACGTTAGCAACCCTTCATAGATAGTGCTTCATATACACTTACAATAGAATCTTTGATAGCACTTCTCATAGTACTTGAGTAGCACCACCTCGATCAACCGAGTATACTCTTCAGTGTGAAATGGCATGGCATGCATTGTACGACACAAACTTTGGATAACGCTGATCAATGCAACCGCACTCTGCAAAAGCGTTGAAATTAGCATGTTGACCTACATCTTCTGATGTTGTATATACCTTGACAATAGGGTACTTTGAATAATTCTTGTAATTGCGATCATCTTGGAAAGCATCCATGCCTAATAGTCGTACCGTAGTCAGCCATCGGCTTACATAAATGTACTCTGATACCCATAGGGATACTCACCAACCGTAGCATGTGAAATGAGTTGCATGACCTTCTCTTCAATTTGTGGTAGGAACACATTGATGGCAAAATCATCCAGGAAGCTGCCAAAACCTTCTTTGTTGCGATCATCACTAAATAACCCATGTCGTATGAGTAAACACTGCTTGTTGAGTATACCCGTTGTACTTACTAGTTGGGAAAGACTTCACGTAAACGCACGAGGAAGGCCATCGTGGGTCGCAAAAGCACGCTTACATTGTAAGCATCAGGCTTGACAAGCAGCTTATGACGCTTGGAAGCCATACCACTTGCATACTTGTCCACAAGACTGGAATGAAGCAAAATGTCCTTTCCTGCACTGGCAGAATTGCGTCGAAAAGAAGACTCCAAGCTGGATTCCACACCGCTGTAGGCTGCATCAAGCTCTGCATCCTCTGGAACGTCCGTGAAGCTGAACAACTTTTTCTTGTTTTTGGATTTTTCACGCATGTGGTTGGGAAACATGATGTTGGCGGCCGTCCTGTCATCCGTTTGAATACTGGCAGCTGTACGTTCTTGTGTGGTAAGATAATCTTGCAACAAATTGCGAACCTGTTTTCTCTTTGTAAGTACATGCATATACCGTATTGCAAGAACAAGAGCATATGCCATACCTCATGCTGCACAGGACGCCAAATCTCGTGAAAGTGGTATATAGGAAATGCCTCCTTGGATACTGATATGGTATTAGTACAACAGCTCATTCAATATTCACAATAAAGGTACTCACCATCCAGCTCGCGTGTAGCAATAAGACGCTATTCCAATACGTTAGATTTCAATCACAAGAAAGAATGATCGTACCACTTACCTTTTTAATTCTTCGAGCACAGGTCTCTGTAAATCGAAAACCACGGAGTACAGCTTCAAGCTTGGAATATAACGACCACAGCAAATCTTTGAGCGCCTCGTTCTTGGATTCGCTATTCGCTCGATCCAAACAGTACATATCCAATGTCTCTGATCCATCCTTTGCTGCCCGTTCCGATGCATCTGGTCGATTGAGGTGTCTATTTACAAAGTGATTCATGTTAGCTTTTGTATCTTAAAGTAGCCGGGGTAAAGTAACCAACCTGTGTTCCACTTCAGCGATAGTCTTATCTACAAGGCGATGAATTTCCAATGGCAATCGCTCCTTGATCGTCTACATGGTATGATATTAGCTTGCTATCATTGGCATGTTTCCAGTATGATTTACCTCCATAGCAATAGGTATATCACCAAGAACCGCAAGTGCTTCCATGATGATTTCCATGTAGTAATACGAGTCGGTCTCTGGGTTCTTATCCGGATCCTCAGTTACGATGGCATTTTCATCCACAGCAAACATGTCTTCTCCATCCTTGTGAGTTCCTACGACTAACATGAGCTTCCATTTGAATGACCTTTTCTCTAAACTCATTTACCTGATAATCCATTTTGTTGCTGTCCATTCGTAAAACTAACCAAATCCATATTAACGGCTTTTGCTCATCAACTTGTCATTTTGAAATAATACCTTCTTGGTTTCACAGCTGACTCAGGCACTATATGTCAAAAGTCAATAACAGTGGTAAGATAAATGTGACGACCACTCACGTGTTTGTTGCTCTGGGACATATGTCGCCCAACGATTATCACAATACTGGCTCTTGAGATATAGGTGGTTGTGTAACTCCTCAATCAACAATTCATGTAATGCCTAACAATGCACATCATAAGAAAACGTGACGAAGTATTGATGCTCAACCCATATACTCACATTCTTCTGTGTAGTCAATGTCCTCCTAAGATCATCCAATGCTCCAATCTCCTTCATATCTTTGCTATGCACAGCGCGCAACGACTTTATCAACAGCTTGGCTGCACTGAGAACGTGTTTGCTTCCCATGAGCTTGTCCAACTTTTCAGGAGTTGATCGAATCTCATCGCTATTGCATATTCATCTATTAGCGTTTACTCTCTCTCCAACCATTTTGAGTATTACTTACATGGACTCCAATAGATTAAGCATTTCCTTGTGTTGCTCACTCTTGTTCCACATGTTGAGAAGATCCGTACGCTTTTCCAAAAGTTCGGCTTTGCATCGTCTAAGGTTCTCCTTCATATCGGCGACACGTTCCTGCGAATCTATATGCATATCCCAAGTCAACTATGATCCTCGTAATCGTACAACCCATTCCATGCTTACCGTTGATATGCTGAAGAACACCACCAAATGTGCCAATCGAGTTGTTGAACCCCTTGTAATACTCTGATGAACCATATAAGAATCCTGCATAATGTTGCCAAAGGTTGACATTTCCACGTACCATCCACAATGGACTCTAATGCAACATCGAGATCCCTAAGCATACGTCGAAAGGTTTGATAATCCTTCTTTTTGCCGACTGAGCTGTCATCCATCAAAGCCAAAGCGAGAGTGACAGGATCAAACTAATAGAAAGAAATACATAGGGTCAAGGCGCGTGTCGTTGTCGTCGTCGTCGTCGCCTACACCACTTGCACCTACATCCTCCTTGAGCATAAAGTCCCAACCATCATGAATCTCGCCGAGAACAGCTATGCATTGCAAGCGCTTTTAGTTTGTCGGTGGTCATCCACTTGAGAGAGAGAGGGAGAAAAGAAGCCGATGAACAAGCATTTCGAGTTTACCTTGAATTTGTCCAAAGCCATCCGTTTGACCATAGTAGTAGCTGTCATCGTAGCTGTTGCCTCGGTTATTTGAGTGCGATGGAGGTGATGCGTAGCCATCAGACGCCATAAATGGATTGTGGGCGTCCATGTCGATAAAGAAAGGAAAAGAGGACCACAGCAACAAGGTTGCACAGGCTGCTCATTACACATGAAATGCTTTCATTTTCCGCGTGTGTCCAGTACATGCTGTCAGCTGTTTAATGCAGCTTAATGCACTTGACAAATGCATCCCACACTAGAACATTTACTTGATACTCATGGTTTCATACAAGATGATCACCCTATATTCCATTACTGTATCTTGCTGTAGCTTAAAAATACCATAGTGCTGCTTTGTTTGCTATCAATCCAAGCTAGATCCTTGTACTTACTACAACAATGAACCTTTAAAGTTAAGGGACATGATGCTTATTCCAATATAGAACCATAGTTGAGTAGTAGTATAGTATCGAGTTGTGAGTAAGACTTTATTACTATAAGGCGCCATTGACTCTTTGCAGAAACCACTAAAAATAACGTCCTCTTGGCTTATATGGCTGCCAAACCAGTGGATTGGGTCAATGCACAACATACTACATGTTCAACGAAAGATCAAGTAATAGCTAGCTGGGCGGGAAATCCCATATCCAGAAGGCTCCGTATTTCGGCAACATGCACTTTCAGGATCAATGACCATTTCGATCTTACAAAGAGATCACAATTGATTGTGAAGGTTCTGAGTTGAAGGTGATTTTGCTTTATCTATCGCAGGCATCAGCAGCAGGATGCTTTAAGGGCGATGCTTACGATATCCACGTAGACATCAAGAGAATACCTACCATATCGCTTGCGCGTTGTGTGGATGGCATCGAGAATTCAGGGTTCATTCACCTACATCAATGTTCTAGAAATAGAAGGGATCAATCTAATGCAAGATTGTTGACATGGTACCATATATGGTGTGATATTCCAAAGAGGGGGGTTGTTGAAAGAGAATGCCAACGCCATCCATTCATAGCATCATGTATACGCACACGATTATAGAAATAGATGGCCATAATAGCAGCAGTATAGATGACCCTCGAAATGTGTATTTTGAACCCATCGCTCTTGATGCCGGGTCATCTGATGACAAAGCCACGCATCGCTCATTGTGCCGGGGCACCTGTATATTGTCGTTGTCGCGCGTTGTTATTGTGATATATACTTTGTTTTGATCATGATCCTTTTTGATGGATATGTACAACGTGACACCAACGCACCAACATCTTTTTGTATTTCTTGGAGGAGGAATGGTGTTCACGGAGTGGATGTTGTTGCTATTTATCATTGCACTTCTTCCACCCAACTCACAACCTCACAACCAACAGCATGCCATCATCCAAAATCTTACTATTGAACCTTGTACTTCTATTTCAACTATGGATACTACCCATGATCACGGATGCTGCCACTGCATCGTTAAGCTGCAACAGACCATGTCAAGACATCAATCGAGATCCCATTCCAGCAGGCTCAAAGCTTGATCTGACCTGGCAATTTGCGAATCATTACCTACCAGAGCGCTTTGATATTGTCCTTGCATGGGGATTACGAACAAATGCACTTAATACGCTAATCACGTACCTGGATTATGAGAAGCCTACACAAGATGCCCAAGCGGATACGTACAAAACATCATTGACATTGCCACCCAAATTACCTTCTGGAGACTACTATTGGATCATTTTGACTCCATATGATGCGGCCAACTACAGCGATTATACAACGAATTTTGGGCCATACACTGTGTATGGATCAGACGAAGCAATGAACAAGACGAGGGGACCTTCTTATCCATTCGAATTGGATGTCCAATGTAGTGGTGGCAAGTGTGGACAAGGTGGAAACACTATTGAAATGGGCGGACCATTGCTTGTGAGTTGGTCGTACGAAGATACCTTTCGCATGGCGCTCTACTGGGGCAGCCCCGATATCCTTGGCGAAACGGCTACAGCTGTGGTGCAGCTATTTCCTAGTCTCAATTGCACAAAGGATAGGAAATACGGCGTATCCATATCAACACAAAGCATTCTCAATCTCGTTCCTCCAGGACCTTATTATTATATTGCGGTAGAATCAACATCATCCTCCAATGTACGTTCGTTGGCAGGCCCTTATACTATCAAGAGCTCAGCAGCTGGTGGTGGAGGTGGGGGTACAAGCGATGCAAGCAAATCATGGTCATCATCTTCTTTTTTTACTCCTTTGATATTCACTTTTATGATTCTAATCATCAATTACTTTATTCAATAAACATGACTCGATACATAATGAAAGGGGGATTGGGCTGAGCACGGGGGGTGGATGGGTGTGTGGGTGGAGGACATGGAAAATAGGTACGCATGCACCTGTCATTTGTACCACATGGTTACCATTGCTGTTGTTTGCTTTCTCTTTTCCATATACCTACATTTACATACACACATACACACACACGTATACATACATACATACACTCATGAACAGTCTTGTACGAAGGAGGAATCGCGCATCTGAATACAGCCGTGCCATGGTCAATCGAGCAAAGCAATGGATGCCTCATCGGAAGTTTTCTTGGCGTAGGCGTCAGTCAACAACAGCCGTTGCCGTTAGTACAGCTTGGTTCTCACTATCGTTGCCAATTACTTTGAATATCAAGTTTGATGGTGGCACACTCAAGCCGTATCAAGTGAATTTGGTGTTGATTGGCGTGTTGCTATCGTTGTTACTATTGTTCTTTGGATGCTATCAACTTGGGCGTGTTATTGGACTCGTTGAAGTGGTGCTTTATGGCTTGGATGGATGTATTCGAGTACTGTTTCTTGCAGCAACAAAGATGCTGAGACTATGAAAATGAAGCTTACAACATTGTGGGAGCAAGGATTATAGCCCGTGGGGAAAGCGCTGAGTAAGAGGGAATCATCTTGGTTATTTGGCAGACGCACTCATTCATAATCTCCTTTTCTCTTCTTTTCTATCACACACACACACGCTTGCTTATTCAAGGAATGAAATTATTGGTCTGTAATCGAGGCGAGATTGCTATCCGAGCATTGAATGCTGCCCGTGAACTTGGTCTGGAGACCGTGGCTGTGTATGCAGATGAGCAAGACAAGAGCCACTGTGATGTAGCGCATGAATCAATCAAACTCAAGAGTCCTGCTTCGTTCCTGGATCCTCAACAAATCATTGCAGCGGCTAAAAGGTATTCTTTTTCTCTTCTTCTTCTTCTTCTTGTTTTATTCAATGGGGTGTTGATGATTGATCGATCTATGCAACTAGTGTACAAGCTACAGCTATTCATCCCGGCTATGGGTTCTTGTCAGAAAGCACAGAGCTTGCTGAGCAATGTAAACAAGCCAACATTCTATTCGTGGGTCCTTCTCCTTCATGTATCGCAGCCGTTGGTGACAAGGTCTCTGCACGTCAAGTAGCTCAAGCAGCTGGTGTCCCTGTTATTCCTGGTTCAGAGCAATCAGTGACGCGTGTGGAGGAGGTGTTTACTTTTGCTGAACAACATGGCTATCCCATCATGCTCAAGGCACGCGATGGAGGTGGTGGACGTGGCATTCGCATGGTGCATTCGCGAGAGCAAGTGGACGATGCACTCCAACGATGTGTGAACGAGTCGCCGACGAAGCAAGTGTTTGTGGAGAAGGCGGTGACAGGAGCCAAGCATATTGAAGTGCAGATCCTCGGCGACAAGCATGGCAACCTGATTCATCTATTGGAACGAGATTGTTCAGCTCAACGTCGATATCAAAAGATCATTGAAGTAGCACCTTGTCCATCATTGAATGTGGAACTTCGACAAGCCATACATGCAGCTGCCGTACGCCTTGGAAAGCACATCCATTATGATTCCACTGGCACCGTTGAGTTCCTTGTTCAACCACAGCAAAACAAGTTTTATTTCCTCGAAGTCAACCCACGTATCCAAGTCGAGCACACCATCACTGAACAAATCACTCAAGTCGATCTTGTCCAAAGCCAAATTCGCGTAGCCATGGGAGAACGCCTTGATACCGATTTGCTCCTGACACAAGTATCCATCCCATTGATCCCACGCCAAGTCGCTATTCAGGCACGCGTTGTTGCTGAGAACCCTGCAAAAGATAACATGTTGTCAGTGGGCAAGATTACAGCTGTTCAATTTCCTCAAGGTCAAGGCATTCGTATCGATACTTGGATCAAGCCTGGTTGTGTTGTTTTACCCGTACGTAGGATGGGTTTTCATGCCATCAATCACTCACTCACTCACTCACTCACTTACTCGCACACATTAGACATTTGATTCTCTTCTTGCCAAGGTGATTGTGACAGGACAAGGATACCATGATGCTGCTCGAAAGTTGTTATTGGCATTGGAGCGTACGGATATTCAAGGAGTGGATACCAACATTGATTTCATGGCAGCATTGATTACGCATCCCATATTTACCAACAATTGCATTCAGGACGTGCATATCAAGGCACTTGAGGAACAATCACATGCCGTGCTTCAGGCGAGTGACACATTTACAAAGGCACGTTTAGCAAGACGACAAGCAATTGCTCATGATCCATCAGCTGAGCCAGCATCTGCAGCGGCGACTTCAGCAGCGGGTGGAATGACATTTAAGCCTGGTGATGCTTTCAATATCGAGTTTACGGATGCTCAAGATGAAGATGCAGCAACAACACAATCACACACTGTGCAAGTTGAATCCATTTCTACAAACAACTTCCCCGATGAATTCGTTGCCGAGATACAGACCACACTTCAGCCTGAGAAACCTTTGGCTATCACAATTACTCGCAAATCCGCTGTTGTTGGTTCAGCCATGCGTCGTAAGGCTTCTTCACGTCAACCATCCGAAATAGCAACACCTATCACTGGTATGGTGGTGGAAATCAATGTCAATGAAGGGGATATCGTGGAAGCAGGTCAACAAGTCTTTGTCATGAGTGCTATGAAAATGGAAACAGTGGTTCGTGCTACAATCCCTGGTCGCGTTCAAGCCATTTATGCCAAACCCAATGACCTTGTCGAAGGCGGTGACCTTATTGTGGAAACATCAGAGGCCAAAGAAAGCAAACTTTAGTCACGTCCTCCTGTAAACTATTTATGTCGAGGGTAGTAATAGATTGTTTCATGTTTCGTAAAACATAATACATATGCAGGCATCTACATCACACCGATTCGCCATATTACATGTCATGTTGGGTATATCTTTGGTATGCAAACACACTTTCTATAGCAGTTGATGGTGAGCACGAAGATGGTTCGTGGTTGCGTGAGAGCAATATAGATGGGATTACGATAGAACAATCCATAAAGTAAACAGCTCATGACGTCTCAGGCATTATTTGTTTTATCTTTTCGCCAACGATTAGCCACATACAGTATTCAACACAGCGCATAAGCAAAAGGCCATGAGAGAGACTTGTTGGGATATAAAGCGCACTACAGCGCATTTGATTTTATTACAGGCCCCACTTTGTAAACGTAGAGAAAACAAGGCGTGTATTCCCCAAGACGTTCACAACGTGAGGATAAATCTATCATGCATAAGAATACGTGTAACAAGATCTCGCACTCCGCAACGTATATAAGGTGTGAACATTTGACTCATATCCCACACCAGCATGACGAACGATAATTATCCGCACCCCTTTGATAACCTTTCGGGCGAAGAAATCCGCTTAGTGACCTCCATCATTCGCAAGGAGCATGGCAGTATTGGCTATATCTTTAGCTCCATATCACTCAAAGAGCCTCCCAAGGGCATCATGCTAAGTTACCTTGGTTGGGACAACGCTTCAAATACGCCCTCTATCATTGATCGTGAAGCTTTGGTCGTATTGGTGGATCGCCCATCTGGTCTTGTGCACGAGGTGGTCATCAACTTGAGCAAACACTCCATCATACAATGGAAAAAATTACAAGGAGTGCAACCCACCTTACATGCGGATGAGATGATGGAAGCAGAAGAAATGATACTCCAAGATCCAGGTGTGATTGATCAATGCAAGCAACTCGGGATTGATGATATGAAGACTGTATTTGCAGACACATGGGGAATCGGGTGGCAAGATACTATAAAGAACAGGCGTCTTATTCAAGCATTCTTGTACATACGCACATCACCTGGCGATAATCAGTATGCCCATCCACTTGATTTTGTGCCTATTTATGGCAAGTGATGATGAATGAAGATGCATACGACAATGCTAACACGTTGATGCGTAAACTAGATGTCAATGCCAAACAAGTGGTGGGCATTGAGGTGATCAAGCGGCGTAATAGCAAACACAAACGGCCTACAATTCCCCTTGCCAACCATCCTTTTTTACCGGAACAAGTGGGTTACGATAACCTGCGTAAAGATCTCAAGCCAATAGAGATTACCCAGCCCCAAGGTGTAAGCTTCACTATCCGTGGACAAGAGATTGATTGGCAAAAGTGGAATATGCATATTGGATTCAATTATCGGGAGGGATTGGTAATTCGCAACGTCAATTATCGCGACATGGATGGCACCGTGCGACCAATAGTGTATAGGATGGCTCTTGCAGAGATGGTAGTGCCCTATGGCAATCCATATGAGCCACACATTCGCAAGATGGCTTTTGATGTTGGGGAATACGGCTTGGGCTATCAGACAAATTCTCTGGAACTTGGATGCGATTGCGTAGGAAGAATCCATTACATGGATGTTGTGCTCAGTGATATGAAAGGTGATCCGTGGTATATCCCAAGTGCAATTTGTATCCATGAAGAGGATGCTGGTCTACTCTTCAAGCACACCGATTACCGAAACGGCAGGTCTCATGTTGTACGTTCACGACGTTTGGTGATATCGCATATCGTTACTGGTATGTGATACCTGGTTTATCGATTAGTGGTGGTATAAAATGATGGGTGTTTATTCTCATTTCCTTCAGTGGCGAATTACGACTATGGATTGTATTACTACTTTTATCAGGATGGAACCATCCAATATGAAGTCAAGGCTACAGGTGAGCTAAATACACATGTTCTTGCAGAAGACGAGGTAGGCTACGTATTGGATCGAGTTGCTGGTTTTATTACTAATGCGTATACATCTTAGGATGCGGCTCCTTATGGCACTATTGTGGCCCCTCAAATCGATGCTCAACATCACCAGCATCTCTTTAATATGAGGATTGATCCAATGGTGGATGGCATACATAATTCAGTAGCCGAGTTGGATGTAGTTGTCTCGGAGCTGCCTGTTGGGCATCCCGACAATAAGGTGGGCAACTCGTTTTATCCTATCACCAAGATATTCAACACCACCAACGAGGCGCAATCGATGGCTTGTGGAGAAAAAAACCGCACATGGAAAATTATCAATGAAAGCAAGATCCATCCATGGGCCAAGCAGCCTGTAGGATTCAAAGTGACCCTTCAAGGAAACTCCACCATGTTGCCCAAACCAGGTTCCGTTGTCTATGAGCGTGCAAGGTTTGCATCCAAGTCATTGTGGGTCACCCCTTTTAAGCAAGACCAAATGTACCCTGGTGGATTCTACTGCTGTCAAAGCGATCCAAATGCCAATTTAGGATTACCAACATGGATACAAGAGACACAAAATGTGCGTGACAAGGATATCGTGTGTTGGATCACATTTGGATTGGCCCATATTCCACGCGTCGAAGATTTCCCCATCATGCCAACCGAATCATGCGGATGGACGCTCAAGCCTGTCAACTTTTTTTGTGGAAACCCTGCAGTCGACGTTCCTCCCTCTGATAAATCTTTGACCAAAAGCCAGTATGCCGATATGCCATGTTGCCGTACCAAGTATAGCCGTAGCAGTTTTAGGAGACTATAGTAGATGTATAATGTTACTCATTGATTGGCTTTTTAATCACTACCTACGAATAGAGTAATAGTCTTAAAATAAGCTTACATTTACGCAACCACATTGCAATCTCGCAGTTTTCATCTTCACAGGGACCTGTAATCCTTTGCCATCCATATTAGCATTAAGTGAGACTATCTCTGTAATAAAGCTGCCCTGAAACAGTGTTCATCATCAAGGCAGCGAGCAAATCACTTCATGTACAATACAACCTCCCATTCAAAATTCTTCATAATGAAACTTGTGTTCTTTGTTACAAAAACATTGATCAGCATGTCCGAGAGAACCTTGTGTTCAAGATTCAGCCTCGAGGTGGTCAATCTCGGGGCGGTGGGCCGTGCACCTGCTTATGGACCCTCTCCTACATTTGGACAGCGCCCATTCAAAACTTTTTATAATGAAGAGTGTGCCTTTTAAATGAATGAAGCTGATCAGCATATACCAGCGAATCTGCTGATCAAATTTCAAGATCGAAATGGGGAATCCCAAGGTAATACATACTATTTCGATAAATAATGGATCCGGCGCTGACCTGCTTTCCGATCTCCATACTAAATCCCACATTGTACCCTGCCATTCAATATTTTCGTTATGAAGCATGAAGTATTTTGATATGAAATTGATCAGGGCATGCCCGAGAGCATCTTGTGTGAAAGTTTCAGGTTCAAGAGGGGCAATCTCAATATCAAGGTTTGATGTTACAGTGCTCATGCATTTATACAAGAGGTGTCAGACCTCTTAATTTCCAGCTCTTCCACTCCCAGCGTATTGCCTTTTCCTCCCCATTCTCAACTGTTGCCCCATTCAAGTATACAACTACCACCATGCGAACGATTGTCCTGCTTCAACCCACCATGTCAATCCTACGATTGTCTTGATCCGATTTGTCTTTGACTGAATGGCAAGTCCATGGCGTGTACACAGCCTTCTTGTCACTGCTCTACTACAACGCTCGCCCTTTCTTAATACTACACGCTCTCCTGCACATTCTTCTACGGCAATCAATCGTAACAACGTTCATTGGAGCAGCTGCTATTAGCGAGGTCTTTATTCCATTGCTTCAAGAGAGTTCACAACCTTGTCACTCTACTACAACACCTTCTTTTGTACACTTCTCTGCCACGACCGAATGTAAGAGCGTTCAGTGCAGCAGTTGCCATCAGCAAAGTCTTTACTCCATTGTCTCAAGTGACTTGCAACAGCTTGCTTTGGTGCATACGGATTCCAATGGATAAGGTGCCATATCAGCTATCAAGCACACGGCAATACAAGCAATCTTTACCTCGTTGAGCTGCGATAGAAGATGTCCAAGAACGAGATACACGAGCAGCGGTCAAAGAGGATCTTTCTTAACGGATTTACAATCGTTATGGATGGGTGGATGAATGAATGCAATCAACGAACCCTGGAACGTTGCTTTGGTTACTTGGCGCGTGGTTCAGGAACGATGGATCTGTCACGTGTATACGGCTGAGGATGATGAGGGATTGGATGGAATTGACTCAAGGGCTTGTATCTTTGACGAATGGTGCTGTACAGCCATGGATGGATGATATTGGAGTACTCGATTCAATGCATGCAGCAGCTATTTTGCAAACATGGATGAAGGATGATTATGGCAGCAGCAACCATGAATACAATGACACAGTTATCTCCATTGCCTTTATTCGATGCACCCGTTTCTTACTCAATTTCCAACCCAATGCTGTTCCCTTATCGTATTTGCTTGATAAACATCCCAATACCATGTGCTATTCTTCGAATTGAATGAAAATTGGATTCAACGTAACATCTAGAAGGCTATTGTGCTATCAGCTCATATATTCAGGGTGTGGATCACTTGGTTGGTTCTGGGTCAAAAGGGGGAATAGAAGTGTAAAGGTCGGGAAGCGAGGTTGGATCATTTACATCATCGTATCAAAGATGCTTTGATCTTTTGTCACGGCATTGTTACATTCACTAACACTTCCTAGTTCACAAACTTATAGTTGAGAGATAATGAGGGCTCTAGAACGCATGTATTGCAAAGATAGTAATGTCGAGGGTGATGATCCCAACATAGAGCTTGTAAATCATTTGGCTCATTGTAAGCTTAATTCTTTATGTTCAAGGAGTGAGCTGTGATACAACGTGGCACGAGTACATAGACATACCATGCTTACCTATGCCATTTTCGACCAACACTATCTTATACAAGAATGAACCATTCCATCTGTCTACCATAGGCGTACCTTCTATAGGCAGGCAGGGGCAGGATCATTATGCATTTGTCCACCAATAGCATTGACCCTTCCAGATCTACTCAACCAGCTGGGTTTGTGTAACACGCCCGTCTGCATCTTTGGCACCATCAGGGTCTACCTACTTGACAATGAAAATGAGCACCTCCCATATAGCATCACGCTTACAGCATATGCAAAACATAAAGACGTCCATATCTCGTAACTTTACAATGAAGTGTGGGGTCTTTAATAGAACAAAGTTGCTCGGCGGGGTGAAAGCGATCTTGTGTCAAACTATGAAGTCGATCGTGGCCGATCTCAGATTCACCCCATGTCGCTGCCAGCCAAAAAAATATTTTCGTCGTCAACGAAAAAATTTCAAGAGGTCGATCCACTTTGGCTGGTGGCGACATTGCGAAATCTGGGGTTGCCCACGATGAACGTGAAACTAGTACACATGATTCCTTTGACCCCACCGAGCAACACTGTTCTATTAAAGACCCCACGTTTGATTGTAAAGTTTAGAGATACAGGCACCTTTATGTTTTACATATGCTGTAAGCGTGATGGTATATGAAAAGTGGCCCTTGTTCATTGTCAAATAGATAGACCCGATTGAGCAAAAGATGCAGAGAGGCGTCTTTGTATACCAAAAGTCCGAGCTTTAAGGACAATCCAATTGGTGGAGGACGCATAATAATAGCCTGTACAACTATAGACAGGTCCGCCTGTGATAGCCCGTATGGGTAATTCTACAAGTAAACATAATGCCTTTATGAGAACAAAAATGGTGAGGGCATATGAAACTGTGTCCTGTCAAGGTATGAGTGATATTGATATTGAAGTGATCTTTCGGGCTGAAGTTTGTCAATGAGTACTTTCAGGCACGCTAGTCGCCCTTCTTTTTACCTCTCACAAAGTCGTTCCACTTGATCACGCAGGTTTGGAGATATGGGTAGTGTTACGATTTGTCTCAAGCTTTGGCTGTGATGGCGATTATTGCTATATCAAAAGTGCTGTTTGCTTGTAGTGGATGATGGCTACCGACAAGTGCTTTTCAAATAAGGGGCTCCCTAGATGTCGGCGTATGATTTTGATAGAACACAGGCCCACAATACGCCTCTGGTACATGAACACGGGTCATTGAATCAATGACTATTCGAAATTTTTATAGGCAACCATGCTGCCTTTGTGAGAACGAAAATGATCACTGCATACGAATGCACCTCCTGGCAACACATCAATCCTGTATCTTGATTCTAGAGGTTTTTGCCTACATAGCGTGGTAGTTATACAGCTTCGACGCGCTCATTTACATCCCAAACAGCCTTTTTCATTAGAGTAATTTTACTTTCAAAACGAACGGATCATTATACACGTAAAAAGACTTAATAACATGCCAAGTGTAAAGAGGAATCAAGAAAGACGTGCGATCTGCACTATGGTTGCTATGAAATCTAGACGGGTCCATTTCCTTCCCAATCAGACTTTTTATTCAAATAAACTACTCTACCGCAATCTACACGCAATTCTACACGTAAGTTGGTTTGGTAACGCGCCATTTGCAAAGTGAGATCGAGAGGGCGTGAAATGGGACTGTGTGGGCGGGAGTG